TTCTTAGGAGCGGTAGAGAGCACACACTCATATTACCAAACCCAATATATTTCAGATGAGTATGCGTTTTCCTTTCAGTGGATCAATAGCGATTTGCAGTCTATTTATTGCTAGTACTGACAACTAGGCGAAGGTTTCAGTGAGCGCCATGAAGTTCTGCGGCACCTCTGCGCACTACCCATAAAAATCACTCATTAGCACTTAGTCCCCTGGGAGGTGAATATCTTTCCAGCGTCTCTCATATGTTTGAAAGGATTCGAAGACAGTTGGTATTGGTCAAGAGAATGTGGGATTTACATCATTGCACCTTCATGGGAGAATCATTCCTGCAACACTTACCTTGATTTTCTAGATTCATCGTTCTGTCCCTCATACGTAGTAGAAGTTAAGGAAATTAAAGTTGATTTCGGTTTGACGAAGCCTATTTCATGATTATCAGCCACGTTTGTTTTAATATTACGGTTTTGTTTATTGCGATAAAGTATATCTATTAATTGAGTTTATACTGAGCATCTTGTTATTGAATCACAGTCATTGTACATGAACGTAGCACTTCCTCTGGAAGTTCATAAATACCTAAGTATAAGTTTAAGCCGGAACAATTTTTAATTGAGTCAAAATTTCTACTATTTCTATTGATTTACTACAGTCAATGTTCATTGTTCATTGTTTATACAGTTTCCTAAGTCAGAATTGAATTAAACCATTTTTTTCAGGAAAAGTCCATTGTTGTTTTGAGGAAACTCTGATCGAGCAAGGACGAATCATTTAGTCTTCAAAATTCCTGCCCCCTGTTGTGTGGTCGAAAGACGGCCTACGTTGTTAAATATTAACAGTGTGCGAATCGTGCACTTCACGTGCCAATCATACATTGTTGGAACTGCCCGAAAAATATCAGACTATGTCTTGCGAACCCGTCAGTTATGGCATTCTATTTGAACTTCGCAAAATCGTCAGTCTGTACATCTTTCCCACGGTCACTCTGTTCGGCATTGCCGGCAATGCACTGAATTTGGTGGTGATGAACGTTAAAGGAATGCGAACGAAGACCAACTATTTTCTGTCCGCAATGGCACTGACTGACATGGGCTTCCTGTTGTTCATGATACCACACAACCTCGTCATGATTCCCAATGCTATCACATGGGGCACGGTCTTCTCGCTGTGTATGAAGTACAGGATGTGGTTTAACACCATCGTCAACTCTATGTCCAGCGCTTCAATATGGTAAGTGTCAAAATCGGATATTTACTTCATTTATTAATTCATTTTATCTCCAATTTGCTGGAAAACTTAACGTAAGTCTATTTTGTAGATTTTTAAATTTTTGATCTTTACAAATAATTATTTAATGCTAACAAGGGATACACTGGTTTCCATTATTTTTCCGAAACATTTACTTTTCGACAGTATTTCGACATGTAGTGTCTACCAGTTGAATCACACCAACTCATTTTCAAGGCGTTCAGAAATTTTATACTTGATTTATAACTCACCTGTCCTTGGCAACTTCACCATTTCTGAACAGTGCTTTCAAGTTCAAAGTCTTTTCTTTAGTGCCACAAACATGAGTGTTTTTTACCCATAATCAGTTCACTGATGCCATGTATATTAGTCACGCTATTAAGCAACTCCATTCCTCAGTTACTCAAATAGTATAGATCCTTGACCTCAATGAATGACAAGAGTTAGATGCTTAGATTAGTCAAAACAGTACGTAACACTTGCACCGAAGAGATTGATAAGCAGAAAAGATAAGTAGAAATAATCCATAATGATAAGTCGGAATTCAGTGTTTTCTCTGTCTACTGAAAATACTGCGCTTGCAATCAATGGACAAGGTCGTAACATGTAGACAAATTTCCTACACGTTTTTCTGGACAAATCATCGATATCCAAGTTGAAGAGAAATAGTTTAAGGACTGAACCCTGCATTAGTATGTTCTGCAGAGTCAGTGGGTTATATTCTTGTTTCCACTGAAAGTTCGCACGTTTAGAATCGACAAAAGGAGATGACAAGTGCATTGCGCTGCACAGTTTCTTCAGAATAGTGGGAAACATGCTACTGTCCAATCCGTCGAGTGCACGTATGCTACTGGTTGAATAATTTTGGCACAAAGAACAGCAGCAAAAGCGAAACGCCTTGATGCATGTTAAGCTATAAGCTAATTATGCACCTGTTTACGCCATCCATTAGCAAGCAATTATGCGAGACAGTGCAAGAATGACTGGATTGCCTTTCAGTTTTGTTCGAAAATACATGTTCCTAAATTTTAATCCCTTGTAGAGATGTAGGGATATGTGGAGAGAGAGGGGGGGGGATGAAGCGGATGGTTGCTGTTGGAGTGGATACCGGTGAGCAAGCGAAGGCAAGTTTATAGGACGAGTTGCAGAAATTCGTTGGCAAGAACTTATGAACCGAAGCAGTCATCAAATACTATCAACCGTACAGCCCGGCGCTGAATGCGAAGACCGTTTTCGAGAAGACCAGGAAAGAAGATAAGCATGGCATTAGTAAAACGAGGAATGCACGATTTGATGGAAAGGTGCTGATTGGACTTTCGAGTCTTCACATACCTTAGACGAATATGAGAGTAAAATTTCTGTTGAATTTCATCAACAATCGGGTTGACGTTTTTATACAAAGACATTTCGTAAGACAGAACTACCCCAAGATATGTCATACAGTTTACGTGTTCAACTTAGACAAATTTATAAATTTTGTGCAGAAATTTTAAACGAAACGTTGCATAGGTATAGGATCTGAAGGTTTTGTACATTCTTATACAAATAGCACAGTTTCTCATGCTTTTCGGGATTGCAAGACGGTAAAATATAAGACTTATAATTTTTTATAAGGCGAAACTGGAAAGGTTGCTTTGTGAGTTCAAAGCAAGGAGGTGTTAGCTACTTCTCCAACTATCCTTCCCGGACTTGGTGTCAGCATTTAGTGTTGTATGTCCATTGTTCAAGGAGCTGAATTTCTGTTGACTCGCCATTTTTTAGTGAGCTTGTATGTCTTTGAGGTTCTTTCTCTAAACCTGACACTTAAACGTAAATGCTCGTATAATTTTCATCTTTCCAACAATACGCTTATGCAGTTTTTCAGGTTCGCGATCGCGGTTACCGCCGAGCGGCTGGTAGCAATCATATTTCCGATCCACGCAAAGGCATTTCTGCGAATGTGGCATCTGAAGCTGATCAGTGCTGTAATAGCCATATGGTCGCTGGGCATAAATCTATACAACTTATTCTGGATGGTACCCGTTCAGGCTGAGAGGTTCGTGTGCAACCAAACGGTGCTGACTTGGCGTCTGGAGCAGCTGAACAAATCGGACAACCCGGCCATGTACAACTACGTTCAACTGTCGTTGGCTGTGGTGCCGTACGTCAGTGTGGTCACTCCTCTGATTATGCTTGTGATACTCAATTCGCTGCTGCTACGCTACCTGCATATCGGCCGATCCGGTATAGCCAACTCCAGCGACTCGTCGTCCAAGACCTCAAACGGCAGCCATTCGAAATTGGTCGAGTTTCGGATCACGTTGATGGTGGTGCTGATCATTGCGTCGTTTATCGTGTTCCAGACACCTTCGGCGTTCCTGTACATCTGGGAAGCGGTGTCCAGCAAACCGTATCCGGTGTGGTTCTTTACCGTCACCACAATCTCCAATTTGTTGGTTAGCTTTGGCAAAGCTCTGAACTTCGTCCTTTACTGTGTCATTAGCAGCAACTTTCGTCGACGCCTGATTAAAATATTATGCAAAACGTTTTTCGCTTTCAGGAGCAACCTAAATAGCCAGTTTAAACGGTCATCATACTACAAAACGTCAATCATGCTTCTGTCATCGGAACGAAGCGTAAGGCAGACGAAAAGAATGTCTTCATCCAGCAAAACAGAGGACCACTTCTGACAATATAGTTCAAACAATACAATCATTAACACTTGCCGTTTTTTATTTGTCGGTTCATTTGTGATATTGTGCTGCTTCTCTTCCTTATTGTCGCTGTAACTTTTCGTATAAATATTTTGTTGTGAGAAAGTTCGACAGGTCAAATTGTTCCTCAGTTATGCGAATAAAACGATTTATTCGAACATCTCAAGTCAGGCTTTTTACTTAACCTCCTAAAAGCTATTTAAAATGTGAAGCTTGAAACCACCAAAATTTGTCTTTTAAACACCAATTAATGTCACTTAGTCTCACTAAGGCTAGTGAAGAATGGCAGTGTGCTGCTTCGTTAAATTAAATTGATAGGTTGAGATTGCTTGAAATTCGGAAACTTATGTTTGAGCTATCCACTGGTTGGGTCTGTCATGATCACCGTGGTAACTAGACATAACTCCAAACCAGCGGGAAACTACGAGACAGCTAGATGAAAGAAGCCATTTGATTTACCATCCTTATTTTGACGATGAATTTAAAATTCGAACTGCTAAAAAACATTATCAGCCATTTTTTGATTTATCCAAATCACAGACTGTCTTAAGGACACTAATGCCGAGAAGATCAACCGAATCAATGAAAAGTAAGCAAGTGGTGGCATCCTTATTTCATTCTGACGTCAACGAATTTAATCCAGGTGACACGCTGTGATTGAGAAATCGCAGCTACGATGGTTTAGGCATGTGTTGCGAATGCCTCCAGAAAGAACGGCGAAGCAACGTTTCTTGGCAAACTGACCGGCAGCAGACCCAGGGGACGGCCAAGATTAACCTCGTGCAAATATATGCAAAGAGTTTGCTCTAGACTCAGGTTGCCTTCTGCCTAAGCTCAGAGTCTGGCACAGGATCGGGAACGTTGGAAGCTCTACGTGAGGCATCTGCCTCCGCGACCCGGCAAGAGAAGGGCCATGAAAGATGATGATGATGATGACACGCTTTATGAAAAAAATTATTATGGGTCAATGAGGATTAGCGTCGCTGCCTTCAGTGTTCGTAGTCGCAGTGTTTTTTTGGAATATCTGACTTGAAAGATAAGCGAGCTCCTTAGCTATCAACTATTGTTAGTTCGTTAGCTGACTGTTTCAGGTTTGTAGGATATCTCACTCATCTGACCATTCCGTTGTCTTTAAAAGTTTATAATGCTATCTTTAAACAATGCAGAAAATTTATTGTTTGTGTTCTGTGCTTAATAAGATCATCAGTTTGAGTCGCCTGTATAAATTGGTTGTTTCTGGTTTCTTGTGTCCGCTGTATTCGCATCTTTTCGACGTTTACTATAAGTCAGCGTTAACTCTATCGTTGATGAAAATATTCCTCTCAGAAACCAGCTCGCTCTCTACCTTTTCCCTCATGTTAGACGCTGGCCTCCTGATCATCTGCCGTTTAACTACTCCAACACAATAAGCAAATGGACTGCAGTAAACGATGAATGGTGAAGCAGTTTTCCTAGCAGGGTCAGCCTCGTTTTCTTAATCACAATATCCACCGAGGTCATCTGAACCCGGAAGAAAATTGGTTCCTTTCTCACGTGGTCTTGCCATTTAAATTCGCTATGCTTTGAAACCAATGTGGTACGCAATTCAACTGCTGCTCATGACGCTTCGTTATTTATTCTCTCACCATCCCGTACAACACCTCTGACAGATAGAGGCAGTGCACAATTGAATTCTTGTGGAAACCGCTACTATTTATTCAGAACACATAGTGGACAGGCTTCTGATTGCTTCGAGATAGGAGGGATCTTACTATTTAACACCGGATTTAACCCAATTCAATGGTTCGTTTTTGTTATGCATTTAAAATTCTGCAAAAATAATGTCTACAAAAGACTCATCATTTAAGCAGGTCAGCTTACTCTCACTGTCGATATTAATTAATGAAGGCAAAATACATGACCTTGGTAGCAGCTTGAAGAGAGTGCTAAAAATTTGAACTGTACCTCAAGCGCCGCGTAGTAACTTCTGCTTACACTCCATGTCTTATGCACGGTGTCAATAAGAAAAAAATGAATAAATGAATGAATTCATTCTATTGATCATAACCAAATGGGAAGCGGTGGCGTATGTGCAATGTACATAAAGCGACAGAGGTGTTTTCTCTACTAGTCAACGTTTCCTCTCTTGTTTTTCGTTTAATTGATCGTCATAATTGGTTAAATTTTACCTGAGAATATCAACGCTCTAAAACACATCATGTTGTCTCATTAGACAGTCACTCAAAATTAGCAGTTTCATTAACTGAATGACTATCTCACGGATGTACAATGCAATTAGACATCAATCTCGTAGCAACGCATTTCGTTGAGTTTATCCCTCAATTATCAAGTTGCAGGGTACCTGGACATGCATCAAGCTCGATTTTCATTACAAGAGGAACACATTGCTTTGTTGTTTTTTCCAGTTGATGAAAAACTCAGAACTCAGAATAGACTCCTGTTCTTCTATCTCATTCATGTTGTGCCATGAAACAGCTACTGTTGTCTTCTGTCTCATTAATAGATTTGCCCGTGGTTTTACCTTCTTGTTTTCATCTTACTGATATTTATACAAGTATTACTTTCCTAGACCTGTGCTGAAAAAGAACATACTTTCGTGATTTTGAACTTTCACTTTTCACTTCACCTAATAACTCCCCGTTGCCAGTCCCAAGCCCGACTGAGAAACGAGAGGGGTTGGAAACCGCGGCAAGTCTCCCCAAAATCTAGCCACCTGCCACTCATGGTATTGAAGCCATTGAAAATCATACCGGCTCGGTCGTCGCCTGGGTTACCAAGGGCCGCGCAGGCTGCTGAGAAATTGAGATACACTCCGAAAAGTCGGCGATCAGAACCTGCTCATCAAAATCTGCTAATCGGGGACGTAGCAGCACAACAAAGGCTGACGAAGACCGACGGAACGACGACGAAGATAACAGTCAGCAACGGAGTCGCTAATTGTTCTGAACAGAGGACGCAGACAGCGTGATGCCATTACAGCACCTCAGAAAGAACTCCACGAGAACGACACCACCAGTGGGAGCTAAAAGTCGGAAATTGGAACATATCCTCACTCAGAGGAAAAGAACAAGAGTTAGTTGATGAGGCCACAAACTGCCAACTCGACATTGTCTGACTCTCGTCAACTAAGCGTTCAGGAATCTAGAACCTCTACGAGGGGGAGCTATCTGTTCAGGTGTCCATATCACGCGGCACGCTCAGGGCGGTGTTGGTGTTCTGGTAGAACACAACTTTGCCGATAGAATAATCGATTGGAAGCCTATCAGCGGAAGGGTGGTAATCCTCCTACAGAAGCTACAACAGGTTAAATCGATGACCTTGGTACAGGTCTATGCACCCAATTTGGAAGGAGAATATGAGACCTTCCTTGAGGAAGTGCAGTGTGCTATGTTCGAAGTGCCGAATACAGAGTCCCTCATATTGATGGGCGATTTTAAAGCGCACGTTGGAGTAGATGTTGAAAAGTGGAACGGCGTGATTGAGAAAAACGGCCCTAGCGACCTCAACAATAACGGCATGAAGTTGT